TCACATCATCTTTTAAGTGTAAAGATTTCCAGATTTCACGAGAGCTGATAATCAGACTCGGGATGAACATGTCAATACAAAGGCTACCACACTTCTCCCATAGTTGTGTTACAAGAGCCGTCTTTCCAACCGATTGTTCCGTAGTCAGTGTCAATTTCAGCCATTTTTTCAAAGTCGAAAGCATGTTACTTATATTTATCCGTTATGAGCAAGTGTAGCAATGGCGATGTTTTATCAGAGCCGACTGTGTAAAGCACCACCCTCGGGCTGAGGTCATCGCGAGTGAGTCCAGTGAGCCGAGGGATGCAAGACATCCCTCGTACGTGCCAGTGCCAGCACCATGGGGCTGACCTGTGGTTTGGAGGAGCAGTCTCTGGACTAAAGCACGCTGGCAATGCAGAATCTAGTACGGAAAGACGAACAAACAAACAAACACGTTCCATACGCCAAGCTGATCGGGACCAGCTTGTGGTTTTCTGGCCTAATGTCAACCCGAGTGATCTGTATGCAGTCTGGGTTGGGAGCCCACCTGTTCCAAATCAGCAAACTTCAGCACAGGAACTGATTTGACGTTTGTTCTTTTGACGTTGGACAACCGTACTTTCATGTAATTTCCTGAGTCAATGTGATGAAAACGGTTTTATCGTGGTGATACAATGAAACAAAACTTGCTTCGTCATGTTTTTTTGCTATGACCCTCAGTTCAATTTAAATGTGTGAAAAATGTCATGGCATGCTGAATATCTGGCCTGGCTACCTGCCTGGATGGTTATGTGAGTGTTCGATCACATATTTGTTTACGTGATTACCTTGTTAATCGACTTATCAGCTTGAAGAGCCCGTTTTTCAAACGTCTTTCTTTCTGCTCGTCTTTCCTTCTGGTCGACGTGCGTTGTGAATAAGAGTGTCAGTGGCAGGACGCATGTCTTGGTGTTCACAGCCGATCAGTTTTGTTACAGATCACCCAGCGGCTGGCGGGCCGTGCTGGGGGGACAGCGGCCTGGACGACGAACGTCGGAAACGAGCGCGGTCAGGCGGTCGTCTCGGTGGTGACGGCCGGAGAGGGTGCTGACCTCAGCACCATGGCGGCTGGCTTGGTCAGCAGGTACCGGGCCGCCGGCGTCCGGCCCCCGAGCGTGCTCTACGTCGACCGGCTCTGCTGCGGCCGCGGCGCCGCGAACGCGCTCTTCCCCGGCTGGGCTGAGATGGAGGTGCGCCTGGATGTGTGGCATTTTATGCGCCGCATGGCCGCGGGCACGACCACGGATGCCCATCCGCTCTACGCGTCCTTCTTACGCCGGCTGTCGGCGGCCATCATGGAGTGGGACCCTGATGACGTCAGACGACTCCACTAGGCGAAAAAAGCAGAGCTGGAGGCAGAAGGTCACACAGACGTGACCATCGCGGACGTGGAGCGCAGTGTCAGCGGCTTGGAGATGCAGACGCACTGCAGGCGCCGCACCAGGGGAGAGGAACAGACGACTCGACAAATCGACTCGCTTCTGTCGTGTCTGTCACATGAGAAGGCGACGAACTCGCTGGGGGTGCCGCTGCTGGATGTGAAGCGGATGGTCGTCATCTGGGAGCAGCAGCGGCCTCACGTGCGCTGCCTCCAGGATCCGCCGCAGCTGCAGCTGTACGTCCGCGTCGGCACGCTCCGCAAGGGAGGTGTGGAGCTGCCCGTCTACCGATGTGCTCGCGGCACCACGTCACTGGAGGCTTTCCATCTGCACATGGACCGCTTCATCCCGGGTAATTAGGAGTTTGCAATTGAACAGTGATTACATTTGGATGGGCAAAATCTTTAGTCGGCCCTCTGTTGTTCTTTGGTGCGCTCGCACAAAAGTGGTACTCAAAATGCCACCCACTCATCCTCGCTTCAAGTAACTGTCGGATTTGTCCACTGGTCCAAACGTACATGTTGTTACAGTACAGTTGCATGCTATAAAACCCAGTACATACGTCCATTCACGTATGCCTAAGGTGAATGCACAAGCGAAGGATATTCTAGTTACTTGAGCTGCTTGCATAATGTGATCAACGACCGGTGAGCGTGTTTAGCCAAGTTGAAGGCTTCTTGAAATCTACTGTTAACGATTGCGTGACCTTTCCAAAGATTTAGCTGTCACCGTCGACAGTATAATAGGAAATCAAACTTGCAGGCGTCAGTTTTTAACGGGTCGCTGGTGCGTGCAGCAAAAGAATGCTGGGTTTTTGCGCGCGTCAGATTTCAGAGCCACGGATTCTTATCAGATCGCATCTTTCAGCCACCCAGAAGATGAGCGACGTGAAGTTCCAAGCTCACCTGCTGGACGGTCTGGCACGGTGGAACGACGCGAGAGGGACGGAAGCTGCTGCCGCTCATCACGCAGATGTACGGTCGTCCTCGGCCAGGATAGCGACCGCTCTGAACCGGCTGCACCAAACCCTGGTGGGAACGGCGAGGCTCCCCGACTTTCGACCACCCAGAGAGTACACTGGTAAGTCCTGACATGATCCTTTCTATCACACGGGCATTGTGTGAGGAAAACCATATGCATACATGTGGTCTTTTATGGTGCATGCTTAAATCAGTAAGCGTCTTTCCACGTTAGAATGGATCAAAGCTATTATTTCACGATGGCAGTCAGTGCCGTTTCAAGCAGCGTGTCGTAGCACCGCAATTTGGCTAAGCGCTTGTTGAGCAAGATGAATTCTGACTCCGAGTGAGAGTTGTCTTTGAGATTTTTGCGCCTTGGAGAGAAGGTGGATCTTGCCCCCCCCCCCCCCCCCTTCACCACCATGAGAGCTGCAAGCTATAAAGTAACACATCTCACCGAGAAGGGCAGCATATGTCCCCATAAGACGGCGCCCAGAACCGATCTTGTGACGTGCTCTGTTACGTGCTGAGAGTTACATGCCGCTCTCTACATGGGTTCGTCTCCTATCGTGTAGACGTTGCCCGAGTCCTCTCGTGGCTCACGAGTTAAGTGGGCTCTGGCTAGATAGCATTGAAGGCGCGCTTGTGTTTGAGTCGGTTCCCGGGGCAAGTGATAAGATACGGTCCGCAGATGTTCGCGAACTGTTACAGGAGAGCACCTCGGGGTACCTGTACTCGCAAACCGGCCAGCCCCTGCGGAAGCTCTCTGGTGACACCGAAGACGACGAGAAAGAAGACGACTCGGTCACGGCCACTGCGGATGACGAGCAGGTCGTCGACCCCACTGTTGCGACTATGGTAAGGGCCTCCGCACCAGCGAATAAAGTACGAAAATCCGAAAAACCTCACCGCAAGGAAGATGTCTTCAAAGGCTTACATGGTAAGCTGTCAGGTTGATATTCGTTAACGCGCTGAATGCATAGCATGGATTGTATGTGTAACTTAAGTGTGCAAGACAATGCGATTATACCAGTCAATTTTTAAGGAAACGCTTGATCTCAGCACCTCCCTGACCGACCTCTACGAAGAGACCCATCACGCGCTACCCAGCTTCCCTGACCGACCTCCTTCACGAAGAGACCCATGACGTGCTGCCCAGTGTCCCTAACCGACCTCCCAGCGAAGAGAACCATCACGTGCTGCCTAGCGTCCCTGACCGACCTACTTCACGAAGAGACACATCACGTGCTGCCCAGCTTCCCTGACCGACCTCCTCCACGAAGAGACCCACGACCTGCTGCCCAGCTTGCCTGACCGACCTCCCCAACGAAGAGAACCATCACGTGCTGCCCAGCTAGGGTCCTTTCGTTGATCACCATTTTCCAAAGTTAATCATGTGGCTTTTCAGTTCATTCAATCAGTTGTTTTATCACGAATGTTGGCTCGACTCGCAAGGCAGGAACGTAGTCTCATGTGGAACTTTGTACTTCCACCCTCGTTTCCATAACCAGCACAAATTCGAAGATCAAATATGCAACGCTAATGTCTAAACGAGGAGGAAGGGGGAAACACGGGCGTGGGATTTGTCCATAAAGTCGCACGTGAAGTGTAGTGCTTTCATTCAATTGTGCATGCGTAAATATATGTTTCACCGCACGAGGTGGTGCGGTGAATCAGGTATTGTCAACAATGCTGCCTTTGTTTTCTTTTAAGTTGTCTGTCGCAAAGATTTTGGAAGCATTTGCGTATTCGTATGAAGTTCGCGTTAGCGAAACAGATCCTGCATATTTTCTTCTTTTGAATCGCCCAAACGACCTTGATGATGAACGTCAGTAAGGAAATGCGGAGGAGTATAGAGTTATCGCGTTACGACATGCTATGTTGTGAGTTAATGATGTAAACCAACCAACTGGTTGATAAAGACACCCACTATATGGCTGTGTTTCAGTTTCAGCGATTTAAGTTGCATGGTTCGTTTCTGACAACTGGACCTGATTTATTACATGATCAGGAACTCAGACGATTTTTCTCGGCGTGGAATCGGGGATTCTGCCCAGCGGTGCATGACAGCAGTGATCGCTGCTGCGCGTTTCGGTCAGACGGACTCATACTCACACTTCTCAACTCATATTTCTTTAGGCGGCCTCTGACGTCATCGGAACTGGCGTTCGGCAACACCAAGAGGCGCAGCGCCAAAGGTCACCACGGCCGAAGCCACCGCCGCCGGCGCGCGCGCCATCGCCGCCCACGCCGTCACCGGTGCTGGAGCAGCTGTTTCCTGTGGAGCCGTGCTGGTCTGACCGTGGTCTGGATGACCGGGGGATTGTAAGTACAAGTTATGAAATTTATCACGGGTTGCTTCGTGGCACTCGGGCCAAGCTTATTGCAAGCACCAGGTCAGTAATCTTCTCTGGCAGGGGTGCGTAGTATCCATGTTAAAAACTTCCAAAATCGGCAGTAACGGCTGCAAACCCTTTGAAATACAATGTGGCATGAATTTTGGGTTTTAAAAGCTGTGTTATCGCAATGATGACCATCAGTCAGACATCTTACATGATGTTTTCTACCTTGCACCATTTTGCACTATCAGGTCGGTGTCAAATGACAGTCAAAGTCGAATGGCATGCGCAGCGACCGCATAATGCGGCTCTCCATGGCCGGAATGTGGGGAGCAAAGACCACAAAGAACTTGGGTCTGTTTGAATAATTTCGACGAAGTTTTGCACATTTCGGGACATAGGATACAAGTAGCGGATCCAAGCCGATGTGATTTCTTTTCTGTTTAAATTGCTGAATAATGGCCGATTGATTGTAACGGAGGTTAAGTGTTTGTTAACCTTTTAATGCCTTTTTAGGTTTAAAATCTTCTAGAATCAACATCCTTCCTGTGACTGCAAAGTTTATCATTACTGACATTCGGGACCTTCTCGCCGACATTCCCAGTCCATTTAAAGTAAAGTGAAACGCCGTGAGTCACTCGCAACGCGACTTTTAGCTGATGATGAAATTTTAAGGATCTTGCTTTCGCGCTCCAGTTTCAGGGGCTGTATACCGAGGTCTTTGACTTTGCGACACATTCTGATGCGTCAGTCCACGGATGGTCACACAAATATCAGGTTGTTGAGCATATGTTGACTGCGTAAGCGTGCAGACACATCATCATCTAGTCGGTACCGGAATACTTACAAATCACGGATATTATCCACCAAAAGTTCCACGTCCGAAGTATTTGTTAGCAACGGCGCAATATTTTTACAGGCCAAAGTCACAGGGAATCTATGATTAAAAAGGTTCATATTTTAACGCTGTGTTCCGTATTAATGTATTGGTACCAAAGTGCGCTGATAAGCTAGGTAGACCGTCAAAATAATGTTTGCGATCAATGAGGCTCATGCAAAATCCATTCTGACGTCATTTGTCACGCGTCGTAAAATCTTGGAGACTATTTTCGTTCAAGCGATTTGTGCATTTTTTCAGACCGGCAGCTCCGTGCAGTCGGCTGCCCAGGGTCCTCCAGCCACCGTGACTGACCTGGTGCTGGCACCAGTGCCGGGTGGTGCCACAGATCCGCCCCAGACGCCGACGCTGACATCGACGGCGGTAAGGACTGGCAAACATTACAGGGCGAAATTGCATGATACCCAGACCGCATTGTAGAACGGAGATTTCCTCTCATCGTGAAGATGCAATGGGCTGTTATCATATTACTATGCATGTGACAACAACAGGGAAAAGGCTCGTTTATAACCCCGGGAGACCAGATGTCCAAAGACCAAGCTGGTGAAGACCTTTCACAAAGTGCTAGCAAATCTTACACACAGAAGTTTGATTTTGGGCAAGCTTGTTTGAAACGCAAACCAAAAATTAACCCTTACCGCTCCGAAGAAACTGACAATGTGTTTGTTTGGTAGTCCTGTGTCCAAACAACAGCTGTGTAATTATTTTACTATCTACGAACACAACGTTGTGGTTTTAGTTGTAGCTTCGGGTGTTCTTACGGGTGTTGAAGATGATTAATACTGTTTGAGACAAATAAATGCGGTGGTAGGATGCGGTAAAATTGCCATGTTCCCCAGGCTACCAGCGCCACCGGGGACTTTGGCCAAGAGCCGACGAGGGCAGGCAGGGTGCCGGCCGTGGCCGCCGCCTCTGAGACCTCGGCCCCAGCGATGCCGCCAGCACTGGTGGTCAAATCAAGCATAGGAAGCGTAAGTGGCCGAGTGACCACGACGCTGCACAGTGGGTGAACAACGTCGCGTTTAGTTGCAAACAAAACTCGACTGGCCGGAATCCAAGGGGATTTGATCATGCTATTGACGTTGGTTGTGATTTTGGTCTATGATGAAACATCAGACTTCCCCCCCCCCCCCAAAAAAAACCCTTACATCTTATTTCAATCCACCAAAAAGCTTCCAGTCGATGATTCAGGAAGTCGTGGCAATTATCCTCATTTCATATGGTGGCAAAAGGCATTAGCTAGGCGTGCTTGAGTCATGTCTGGTAAGATTGTGTTTGTAATGCAGCATTTCGCATCTCACGTGTCACGTTTTCAGGAGCCTGTCGGCCCGGAGAATACAGCCGGCTCTGGCGCCATGGACCGGCTGGCCGAGCGCCTTCTGGAGCTTCGAGACCCTCGCCAGCACGCTATCAGCGATGCAGAGGCCGCCACCATTTGGGAAATGTGGCATCAGCTCTCAGACTTCGACAAACAGCGATCTCCGATGGTACCACGTGTGCAGTCGCGCCTCACACGAGCGCGCTACAAGACGCCTCGCTCTACCGTTGTCCCTGGGGTTGAAAGCCCTCGAAGGTACGCGTGATGATCCTGGCAATTCTAATGGTAGCTGGTGAAGTGTTATGCGCATGCCGTGTAATACCATAACAATATCGTCACGATCGCTTAGTTCATCTAGCCTTCATTTCAAGGTTTCGTTGACCAGGAGTCATTACTACAAACACCAATGTTTAACCCGCGTCGCGAGGCATTACAATAAACACCAACGTTTAACCCGCGTCAAGAGTTATTACAATAAACACCAACGTTTAACCCGCGTCACGAGTTATTACAATAAACACCAACGTTTAACCCGCGTCACGAGTTGTTACAATAAACACCAACGTTTAACCCGCGTCACGAGTTGTTACAATAAACACCAACGTTTAGCCCGCGTCACGAGTTATTACAATAAACACCAACGTTTAACCCGCGTCACGAGTCATCGCAATAAACACCAATGTTTAACCCGCGTCACGAGTCATTACAATAAACACCAACGTTTAACCCGCGTCACGACTTATTACAATAAACACCAACGTTTGCCCTGCGTCACGTAAGACGTCCAGGCTGCCTCCTGCAGCCAGTCGTGCTCCGTGCCCCACTGGTATCATAGAGAGCTTAGTGTCCAACAGTCATGGCACGAAAGCCGGAAGGCGTTCGACCAACACTGCTTGCACGCGCGGGACAGCTGCAGGAGATCGGCAGCATTGGCCCGGGTATCCCGGTTGGACATATTGCTGCAGTGAACAGAATATATTCTCAGGTGTTCAGGTGAGGATATCGTCGGGTATATCCTCAGGCGCATATGGCTGCATTAGAAATGGGTTAAACATGTCACGCTCACATACTCGCTTGTCAAAATCGGGCCGTTTCAAGGTCCCAGAAGGTGGATGACACCCAAAGCTGCGGATGTAGAAACGCACGCGGGCGTAGTGGCTGACCTGAGTGCGTCGGCTCTGTGTGATGCCACATCCACCAGAAACCGTGGTGTAGTAAGATAATTAGCATCACCACAACCGACCGCCAGCCTATCAGGCTTCCTTATGCGCAGCATTCATACCATATTTTGTTTTGTCGGTCAGGGTTAGAATTGAACGTAAAATGTATTTTATAAGGTCGCCAGTTTGTCTTTGGTCCTTAACAGCAAACCCTGTGATGATGCAGAACTGTCAGTAGATGGTTTATATAGTCACTCGCGTAGATGGTGAGTATGTCACTTATATAGTCACTCACCATCTACTCATGTAGATGGTGAGTGAGTATATAAACCATACCATGTATAATGCGGTGGATTTATATTATTTAAGCACAAGCCTTTCGCTGCTGTCCGTGGAGATTTTAATTGTGAATGTATATGACCTATGTATGAATTAAAGATAGCGTCGTTTTTTAATTTGTTGTTGCTTAGAGTCTTAGGGCGCGCCGACTTTTTAAAATTAGTTTGGACTGGTAACTCGGCATTAGAGTTTTTCCCACTACGGTCCGTATTCACCGCAGCGGAACGTGCTGTACACACGGCTGACGGGCGCCGCATGCGACAGGTCGCTTGTTGGGCCCACTGGCGGTGCCACCGCCCAGAAGCTGGCCTGCAACCGGCTGGCTGAAACGATCTGCGTGAAGCTGATCAGCGCACACCAGGGGCAAGTACAAAAGCCTGGCGGTCCACCCGTGCTCCGGTGGGCGCAGGTGGTGCAGGAGTACAGACACGTCAGGCAGCGCCTCCTCGACAGCCGGCACGTTCAGCAGGGGAGCGACCTGGCGCTGCCCGACGTCAGTCATAAGACGCTCCTCACCTGGTATGTCACTGGGACGTTACAACCGAAGCCTTTACCGCGTGGTCAAGCATGAGATGGAAGGCCGTTTCTCACCTGCGCGTCACCACCGTAGCTGACAAAAGCAGTAGCTTGTATCCGTTATGTAGCCTCTGCCTAGTGATTTACTGTGAAAATAACTGGCTGAAAAACAGCCACCGCTGACTCCAAGCAATGTAAAAAGTTAAGTTAATTTGTTAAGTTAGTTAAGTTAAGCATCATTTGGCGCGACTACCAAAATGCAAAAAGCAGTATATCAGCATATTGATGCTGACTGAGAAGTGTTTGCCGACGTCGGAAAAGCAGGAAAAGACCTGCAATTTCAATTGCAGCGTTAGATAGGCCATTCGCATTGCGCGTTTCTTGCACGCCACCTGCAAAAGAAATCGCCCGTGTCGGCGTTCTGAACGGCGTTTGTTGCATTGCTTCCAGGTACAACGATCTTCAGAGGCGGAGAAAGGCTGCCGTCGTACAGAAGGGGGTCGTGCCACCACCTTGGAGACAACTGGCCCCCAAGCCCCTAGCAGCAGCCTGTCCGCTCCTGACCGCGCTGCCACAGACGCCCCAGCCTGCGATGGTGCTCATCTTACCTGAAAACACCACCGGCCAGGTGGCCGCCGGGATCGGCCTCGGCCGGCAGCTTGGTCAGCGACAGAAGAGAACGTACACGCGCCGGGCCGTGTCGGTGCGCTGTGCCGTCTGCCAGAGGCCGCGCACCGCGACGCTGGGGCACAGGCGTGACAAGCAGGGACGCTTCTTCTGCCCGCACAACCCAGAGCGTCTTTCGTTTGAGCAATGGGCCGCGACCGACCGGCCCCCAGTGAAAAAACCGAGGACATAGCGGCCGTAGGACCGGTCTACTGTTGGCGGCTGTGTCGGTAATACATTTTATACGTATCGCGTGTGTCACATCGAGGAGGTCTTCAGCGACGTTTATTTCCAAGGAGCTCATCATCGTCCTACATGGTGGAGCTTTGACTGGGACAGAAGGACCATGGCGAGATTGGTTGTACTTGGTTTTCTGGGCTGTACTTGCTTAGGACAGAGGCAAACTTATCATTGCGAAAATAATTACATTGGGACACATGTTAGTTATCTTACCCGACCTATATTTCGGTATTGTCATTATCGTCATTACTTGCGTATCGTCGTTCAACGACAAAAGCAAGACACGTGGACCGAAAGCATATTGATCAAGCATACTACTGGTCACAGTTTTTGTCCTTCCCGACAAGAACTCAACGTACACTTTTATCAATTTCCATGCCTTTGACCGTCTCCTACACTCAATCTTACCCTGGTGGTGCCATAGAGCTCAAATGTCTGTATGGTCGATTAACAAGTTTGTTTAGGTATGCTTGAAGCTGAGACACAAGCTTTGATGAGGAAAGCTCGAGGCAGACAGATACCGCGCTCCGTCGAAGATCTGACGGTCATTACACAGCCGTGCACGTAGCTCACTCTGCGTGGATTTCCTACATTTCCATACACATACGGAAGGACGGACATTCGACAAAGCTAAGAGGGTCGACACCTATTATTGGCTAGTTCCTTTTGGCAGAAGCCTAAAGGGCCAACGCTGAATTTCCAGAAAATTTAGGTTCGCACCCCTGTGCACATATGCATTTGAGTAGGCACGTGCTGTGTATGCAACTGTTGTAACTGTGTTTGGGCAAGTATGCTGGACCTTGACGAGGGTCCCAGCACACGAGTCAGGTCCTGAAGCTTGCGGACGGCGAGCCCCACTCACGTGGAATGTGACGGAGTAGGTGTACTGGACGCCGACGGCGCCGGCGGCCGACCGGTCGCGACCGCTGATCTCCACAGCCGGCTGCGAGCCGTCGCAGCGGACGCCGTCAGCGGCCCGAGCCGACGCCAGACACGCTACGTGCCGTCAGCGGCCCGAGCCGACGCCAGACACGCTACGTACCGTCAGCAGCCCGAGCCGACGCCAGACACGCTACGTGCCGTCAGCAGCCCGAGCCGACGCCAGATACGCTACGCACAGTCAGCGGCCCGAGCCGACGCCAGGCACGCTACGCGCAGTCAGGGGCGCCGCACAACCCACCGGCCGGCCCACCACTGCTGCTTCGATTTCTGCTCCGGATATTTCGCGACTGCACGCAGATGAGTCGTGGGAGAGAAAAACATAAGCTCAGAACACTTAAATGATCGACTGATCACTACTAAATATTGTCAATAGATTAATTATGTCGTTAAGTGTGACAAAAAAGCTCTGTGATGAAAACACCGATACAGCTACAACACATATCACTGCCTTGGAAGGATCTGCCCCAGACCTCGTCGACGCCACCGTGGTGGGTGATGTTGAAGTCCAGGTAGTTGTACACGTAATACGCCGGTCACTATTGTGGACCAGGTTACTCCGTGGACAGAGCAGTAGTATAATGACCATTAGTAGTACTCATTGAGTAGCATAATGACCATTATACTACTCATCAATGTCAAGTATTATTGTTGCTAAGACAAAATTCAATGTTATTGCCAACAAAGCGGGCTAACATTCAAAATCTAACCATTAAAATCATACTGACTCAAGTAATGGACCTATCGGTAACTCTGCTCTGGCTTTAGAGCATTGGAATAAGCGAGCTGCATTAGCGTCTTATACATTATTGTCTGTACAATACGACATCAATATGTGCAATGTTGCTAATTAGAGACAGATGTTAGGCTGCTAGTCCCTCTAGGCCTATTGGTGTGTCGTATAGTCTTTTAAGTCTCGATAGGTCTTGTTATGTTCCTGGTGTTTGGCATGACATGGTCATTACAAGGCAATGTCAATATCGCTCATTATTGCCAATTTAATCATATTGATGCTACTACGCAATTCAGTTTGAAGTATTATTGTTTCTAAGACAAATTCCAATCTTCTTGTTAAAAATCTAATCTAATCTAATATTCGAAATCTAACCAAATAAGAAAAGACGCTCACCTAGATTCTGGTCTTGGATATGGTCTAGACCGTGGAATTACTGCGGTGCCTGGAACGCCTTCCCTGTGCTCAAAACAATTCAGCACATCAATCATCATCATCAGTAAGATTAACAACGGACGAAACTGTCCCACAATGTACAGGTGATCGGACAGCCATGTTACATGTGCTACAAATAAAACACCTAACAATGTTTTGCTCACATCATATGACTGTTGATGTCAGAAATGAGGACCTCAGTCACCTTAGTTGACATGAACCATTGATATTACATCATTTAAGGCCATCGTATCATAAGCCTACCTCATTGATACACCGAAAGCAATACTGCGCACTGTAAATGACTGTCATGCCATTGCCACTGACATTGCTATGCATTTCACAGCATACTAACTGGAAGACATTTGCTTAAAGGCACCGTAATGAAATGCATGAATGAATAATGACTGAAAGAACACATGACAATGAATGAGACAAAAAATGGTCACAGAAATTCCACATGTGTTCTCATGGTAACTAAGTTCAAGTCTGAATGCCAAGGCTAAATGAGAAGGGTCTGGAAAAACATAAATCAAGAAAACTCAGTCGTTCACAAACCAACAGAGGTGGCACAGGATTGGCCCTCAGCCTTTTCCTTTTGGCTGCTGGGGCAAGCTTCCGATGAAAAATGTGCCTCGCACACTCCATGCCCAGGTGCCACAACAGTGATGCCACATGCTTCAAGCCACTCCTGTAGGTGGCCTTGTGGAACTGGGAATCTGGAAGGATTACTATAATTAAGAAATCGGATTGTTATACAATAGAATGAACGTATTCCACGTCAAATGAATAATGCAAACTGAAAATATCTGCCCACAGGTTGTGCTTTAATAGTTGTGTTAAGTGGCGAATCATCAGGAGTACAGGCTACAGACAACATCTAGGTTGTCAAACATGCCTGACAAATGTTGAAATGCTTGCCATCCCAAAAAAAAGCGATGCAAGATGAGGACATGCACTCATGGACTGTGCGAGCTGTGAGCATGGTACGTGACTGTCACCCACTTTAATAAATGGTGAGCAAATTTAGTGTTTTGAAATAGTGGCAGCTGCATCTCATCAGTCATGCCATTTCCGCAATATGACGGCTGGGCGCTCAGTTCAGTGCAAATCTGATTACAGCACATAAAGTGCAGTGATAGGTTAAGCACACTAGTGAATCTGCAATCTGGAACAATGGATTGATTTTTGAGACTGGTATCCTGGTCCTAGCCTGACTGGCAAAACTGAGATTCAATTACATGTCTGTTTATACAGGTGGTTACACGAAACAACCCAGGTGTAGCTCCATGAACTTAGTGAGAAAGGTAGGAGATTGGAGCAGGCAGAAATATTTGAGCTTACTACAAAATGCCAAAACAAAGTTACTCACACATTTCGCACACAACATGGGTATGAAATATGTCATGTGTAGGTGCTTGTCATCGCTCACATTGGGCTGTGTAGTGGCAGTGTTGTTATACCTGTCCACTCACTCTGAAAAACTGTATTCGGGGTCACATTGCGGCGGGACCACCCCACACACAGCGGCGAACTGCCGCACGTAACGCCGACAGAGAGACTCCCTCTACGCGCCCCGAGCAGCACCTCTTATACTCCTTTCGAGCCCACCCGCAACACGATCGGCGTGCGACTCGCCGGCACCACCGCGTCCCACCCCACCGCGTCCACGGGCTTACGCCTCGCCCCTGAGCCGTGACCGTTTCCCTGCGTTAACCCTGTCCTGGGGCGTCATCTATTGCCACATATGGTCCACCGCCACAAAAAACCTTCAACTTTGCCACACCCACCAACATCAACAATTTTGTGCCAAACCTGTTCCTACGTGCCATACTTGGACCTAGTCAATTGCTCTCAAAATTAACATGGTGTATCTTTTTTGTTGTAACAATTAGGTACATAAGTCAAGTCGCTTCTGAAATTGGTTGCAGCCGTATGCCCCGCCCCTACCACTTCCACCCGCTGTTCGGCTGCCGCGCGCACCTGCATTTTAGTGACTGTTTTTGTAAGGCATTTTTGCCGGACATTGCTTAAGTGCACACTCATTCCTCAAACTGTGACAAAAATTGAAATCGACCGCTCACCATACTCGAAACTGCATGCGATATTGAGACGTGCATACCCTGAATTTATTGCTGCGATGTCGGTGATACGCCAGACATATTCGGCGTCAAATGTCTTTAACAGATTGGGAACAAAGTACCTGCGCGAACACAGTCAAATAATTATCCCTTGTTCTGCGATCACCGCACACACAATGCTCTCTGTTGCGCACCTCGCACCTAAAAATGCCTCGTCGACGAGTGCCGCACAACCCGAAAGTGCTCATGTTTACGTTCGCGACACGCGTTCAGCAGCAAAATTTTGTTAACGGCCAATCATCTTCCGCGGGTTGTACCACATGTGCAGCATCATCACCTACGCGAATGTATCAGCGCCCACACTGTTTTCACCACAAAAAAACAGCCTGTAATACCACGGCGACCTAATAACGTTTGTATGACGTCATTCATCAGACGGCGGTTTTGAAAAAGGCTCCAAATAAACCTTTTTGTATTTTTGCGGGCGTGTAACTCAGGAGCCAGAGCGTTTTGGGTCTTGAAAAGGACATGTCCGTGAACTGCATCAAAAGGTCCTCAATGTGGCTATTTCAGTTCAAAACCTCATGCAAAGGTGGAACATTCCTTTTAAGGAATGGCGCCCTTTCTCCAAAGATCAACAGCCCAAATGCTTGGAGCAATGCTTTGTTCCGTAAAAGTATCCATTAATGTGTCAGTCCAAGTTTGCTTGTCAGCGCGGATGACGTCGCCAGATTTACATGCACTGTATACCACACTGGCTGAGGCAAGGTCGAGG